TGCAGCGGGGACACCACCGACTCGGTGAGCGTCACCTCCGCCGGCTCCAGCAGCTCCGACGTGGAGGAGATCAACATCAGCTTCATTCCCGAGTCCCCTGACTGCCAGGAGAAGAAGGTACGGGGCAGTTCGCGGGGTCCAGGCCACCTCTGCCCCAGCACTGGGGCTGAGGGGAGAGGGTGGGGGTCCCGGGGGCTGTTTCTGACCCGCCGGGGCTAGGGAGGCCCCTGCCCTTTGCTGCTCCGGCAGCACGGCCAGGCTCTCGCACCTGCGGTGGCTGTAGTCCTGTCGGTCCCCCGTTGTCACAGGTCAGTGAGATGCCTCTGGCCTCCCTCCCCCAGCGCTGGTACACCCCGTCTGTGGCCGATGGAGAAGCTAAACCCACTGTGTCCTCCGCATCCCCTCTCCTCCCTGCCCTCCAGTTCTGGGAATCCACCTCCCTCTCATCTCTGGACACATCGGGCATCGGCTCGGGCTCCAGCAGTGCCTCATCCTCTTCCGTCTCCTCCACGCCGGTGACGGCCTCCCGCACCCACAAGCGCTCGGTCTCCGGTATCTCCAGCTACTCCTCCCTCTCGCTGCCCCTCTACAACCAGCAGGTCGACGACTGCTGCATCATCCGCGTCAGCCTGGCTGTGGACAACGGCAACATGTACAAGAGCATCCTGGTTAGTACGGGGCACCCGCGGTGATGCCAGGCAGGAGTGGCTCGCCCCGCTCGGATGCGGGCATGGCCTCTTTTGGGAGGAGACGGTAGTGGGAGGCTTTGCAGGGTTTTGCAAATAACGCTCTGTGCTCACAGGTGACGAGCCAGGATAAGACCCCAGTTGTTATTCGCAAGGCCATGGCCAAACACAACTTGGATGGGGACAGGCCTGAAGACTATGAGCTCGTTCAGATCATCTCGGAGGAGAGAGGTTTGTGCTGGGGTGTGGGGGGCTGCGGCCCCGGCCGGCCATGCAGCCCTGCAGCCTGGGCAGCACCGGGTCGGAGCTGGGCTGGGAGGTGACAGCAAGAGGGGTCCCAGCCCCACTCTGAGCCCCTTTCAGGGACAGAGTGCCTGACTGACCCCCATCCTTGGTCGCTTGCAGAGCTGAAGATCCCGGACAACGCCAACGTCTTCTACGCCATGAACTCTGCCGCCAACTACGACTTCGTGCTCAAGAAGCGGGGCTTCTCCAAGGGGGTGAAGATCAAGCACGGCTCCAGCTCCACCCTGCCCAGGATGAAGCAGAAAGGCCTGAAGATCGCCAAAGGCATCTTCTAGCCTCAGCCCCACTGCCACCCATCACCGACGGGGCCTTGGGGGCTGGCTGCTCCGGGCTTGGCTGTGGCCGGTACGTTTGCCCACCCACACGGCCACA